ACATTTCATGCATGTTGTAGTGTGAGTGTGACAAGCTGTGATGAGGCGTGTGAGCCACATGACGTGGTGCGAATATTACATGCTAATGTGACTGTAACATGTAACTGTGGCACGATGTGGCTGGCATGTACCTTGACATACTATAACTGCTAGTTACGGTGCTAGTAGCATCGTATCAGAAGTAGATCATAAGGAATTCATAGGGAATTCATAAGGATAATCATTCTTTATTATCTACTTCTGGTCGTATCGTTTCCTGGCTTCCGAATTCCAAGAAAACCCATTCCTGTCTACTAGCGCCATCTGTCCGACAAAGTATGAGTTACACCGTCTCATCCGCAGGCACTTGGACCGTTTCAGTAATGAAATGATTGTAAAAACACACAAATTGTATTTACGAGCAAAGTCTTTATGTTTGTTTAGTCAATAACGCGTAATAATTCCACGTAAATGCTGTTAAAATGCTTCTCTGCAACACACAGTCTCGCCACACGGGCGCCACTATGCATAAATCTCGCATGAAGATAGATATTGTGTGTTTGTGTATTTCTGTCGTGACATGGGCTACAAAAAATAGATAAACATTAGGACTTTGGTTGTCAATACAATTCATTGTTTATTACTATCATTTTATTGTTGAAACGACCCCCTAAGTGCCCGTGTTGTCATCTGAAGATGCAAATTTGGTTCTCGTCGCATGTCGTACGTATGTCACAAGATGCAATAGGATGCAAACAGGCCATAGTGATGTGCGAGTGCGTCTGTGATGATAGTATGATAAAGGGCTTCTGTGATGCTGGCTTCTTTTGTACACGTTGCTGCCTGCAGTGTGCGAGTGAGCGTAGGAGTGAGCGTAGGAGAGGGTTGTATATGTTAGCACAGATGTGTGGGTTTGTTGTGATGTCCGCAGGCATGCATGCTGGGTGGCTACGGAGCCATAAGATGCGGGTCACAGGGCCGTACCGCGCGCGCTCTCCACACCGCGATGTGGGTCACACTCTCCACTCCGCCACGCCTGTTTGTATGTATGTACGGCTCAGACGCTGTGCACAATACTATATACAACAATAGCTGGTAGTAGGGTTTGCTCATAGCCGTGTGTGCGTGCGTGCGGCAGTGAGAAGGTATTGGTAGACAGCACGAGATATGTAGCAAGCGTCGATCCTACCTTATTCAAAGAGTAGAAACGAGAGACGGTCGAAACCGGCTGCATCCTACTGCCACCTGTTGGCAGAATGCGACATTAGCGGGTGCAGCGGGTTTACGGTGCGACGTCGCCAATAGATGGCAGTGCATGTTCGTCGTTTATGTCGATGAATCATCATCATTGGTCGTGTCGAAATTCTAACTCGAATGCCGTGAGAGTGGTGGACGAATTTGATTGAATTATGAACAGAAAATGACATGCCTCTCTGAGCTCTGAACGCAACTTAAATCTGACGCACGGCTACGCTATTGCTATTTACGATTGTGTTCGTCCTATACCCGATGTGACATAACATCTAATATAAACATGATGCCAACGATATAAGTACATGTAAATAACGTCGATTTGGTATACATTTCAATTCAAAACGTTACAAAACTTTGTAGTTCTGCAATCGCGAATTAAATTTTTTCGAAAAGATGCAAAATGTTGCCGCGACAATAGGTGAAAACGAGTTTATCGTATTAAAAAAAATCTTTCGATTACTAGTAATTTTCGTAATGGATTCGAGATAGCAATTATATTAAAATTAGATGGAATTGTCCGGAGACACACCTCGTGTGTACGCGCGCGCGCGCGTGTGTGTGTGATCATGACACGTAGGGGAGCTGGGAGCATGAATACAGGCCACCACACTAGGCAGACGCTTGCGCTATCACCGATCAAGGATAAACCGAAAATTCTCACGTGAAACCCACGACAGAAATCACGATTCCTGCGACAGTTCTCTTCTCGATCCGCATTCAGAACCGATCCGCTTAGATTTCCCTTTCCCCCGAATTTGACCCTCGCTGTTGTAATCGCATTGTGCGCCTTACGCGCGCTACTCCCGATCTCTGCGTGACACAGCATTATGACGTGGTACAGTCAGGGAAGCTGCGCGCTCTCACGGATGAGGATGCTGTCGCTCCTGGTAGCGGCAGCCCCGTAGCCCGCCTGCCCGCCAGCCTGCCATCTTGCCCCGGTCTCGACACGGGAGGAAAGATTTTCGAGAAGAAAATGGAAATTCGCAACGTCGCCACGAAGCTGTCGGCAACGCCAGCTGAGTTGGTTGCCATGGCAACGGCGGGGGGTGACTCACAGGGGCAGGCAGGCAAGGTTTGCAAGTCAGAGTGGTTGAGGGATCGTGCCACTATGGATTGTCACTGCGCGGGGGGCATGTCACATGTCGATGTCGTGCGAGCGGCGATATGTGTGGGGGGGGCGTCTGTTAATGGAGCAGTCACGATGTTCGGGATGGCGATGCGGGCTCGGTCCCCCTCCTCGTTGTCAGGGGAAATCCATCCCAGCCGTGATACCTCTCTCCCCCCATCCTATCGTGTATCTCGTGGGGAAACAGAGTCACGTTATCCTTTGAAGCAGAGTTTCGCTCACGCTAGGTTTTTTTTAGGAAAGTTATGGATCGTATTTTTTTTATAGTTTTCATAGCGTTATTTTACAAATAATGGCGAAAAACCTCCCGTAAATCACGATGACATTAGACCATTGTACTATGTGTGCAGCAGCTACATGTACGCTACATGCTATTTATATACATATACATGTACTATGTGTTATTATCTACTCTTGATAGTATGTAGTGCATATTATATCATTATACATAATGTATATATATATATATAATTGTGTGTGTGTGTGGTGTGTGTGTGTGTGTTGTATTGTGTGTGTGCGTGGTGCGTGCGTCGTGCGCGCGTGTGCGCGTGGCGCGTGCGCGCGGTGCGCGTGTGTGCGTGTGTGTGTACATGTACATGCATATATACATACAAATACGCAGCCCCAGCTACACCCCGCTCCCACCCCCCACCAGCAGCCGTCATAGGCACGACAGGGAACAGTGTCTGACGGTCCACAACAGTACACACATAGCGCACGGCACCAGAAACACCCGCTGTTCTGCTGCGAATCGACGACGACGCAGCGCCTAATTAAATGCATATCAACTGGTAATTACGCGCGGCGTCTTATCGTGTACTTCGCGCGGGGCCCGGTCGCGGCCGCTCTGCACGCATGCGTGCGCAGCGTAAGTGTAGACTCACGACCGTCGTAGTACGTACGTAGGACGGACGCGTGCAAGCCTGTAGTACAAAGACTGCTTGCTTCCGATGTCCTTCTCTCTCCTCTCTTCTTTCACACCTCTCTCTCTCTCTCTCTCTGTCTGTCTTGTCTGTCTGTGTGTGTGTGTGTGTGTGTGTGTGTGCGTGCGTGCGTGCGTGCGTGCGTGCGTGCGTGCGTGCGTGCGTGCGTGTGTTTGTGTTCGCGCATGCGTGCGTGCGTGCGTGTGTGTGCGTGCGTGCGTCCATGACGGAGCATGGTTATCGTGTTCTTAGGTTATCAGTTACGTCTCGCAACCAGCCATTCATAACTCACCTGTAACTCGTACCTGCACCGTTACCTGTACTGTTTGTTACCTGAGGGGTTACCTGTGTACTCTTACCTGTACTGTTTGTTACCTGAGGGGTTACCTGTACTGTTTGTTACCTGAGGGGTTACCTGTGTACTCTTACCTGTACTGTTTGTTACCTGAG